TGGGGTGGTTCGGGGATTATGATAGGAGATTGTTATTAACAGGAGGTTGAGGATTCGATTCTTAGTGGGACCATCTTTTTTTTTTAAAAAAAATAACTTTTCTCAGGATTTAATAATAATAAAAAAATAGTTTAAGGGAAAACAAAGGTTAAACAGTAATTTATTAACATCAAATTAGATAGTAGGAATAATTTATTAACATAAAATTAGAAATAATGGCAATATGTGAGATAATAATTAAACGAATTAGAAAAATGTTTATCAAAAATATGTTTAACAAAATTAAATGATGAACTACTAAAGTGAACTAATGTATAAAAAATATTAAAACAAAGTCAATGCAATTTTTTGTTTCAATAAAAAACAAGTTAATGTGTGGGAAGGATTACCAAACCCAAACATATAGTTCCCATTATAATATATATTGATATGTTTTAAATGATATGAGACTCATAAGTTCTCAAAATTTAATTGCTAAAACTGAACAATTGAAATAAACAATAAGAGAGTTATATATATATGTGTGTATATATATATATATATATATATATATATATATATAATAGGAGGTTGAGGATTCGATTCTCGGTGGACTATATATTTTTTTTTAAAAAAAATTTCTCAGGATTTTAATAATAATAAAAAATAGTTGAAGAGAAAACAAAGGTTAAATAATAATTTATTATCATAAAATTAGATAGTAGGAATAATTTATAAACATAAAATTAGAAATAATGGCAATATGTGAGATAATAATTAAACGAATTAGAAAAATGTTTATCAAAAATATGTTTAACAAAATTAAATGATGAACTACTAAAGTGAATTAGTGTATAAAAAATATTAAAACAAAGTCGATGCAAATTTCTTTTCAATGAAAAACAAGTTAATGTGTGGGAAGGATTACCAAACCCAAACATACAGTCTCCATTATAATATATATTGATATGTTTTAAATGATATGAGACTCATAAGTTCTCAAAACTTTAATTATTAAAACTGGACAATTGAAATAGACAATAAAAGAGTTATATATATATATGTGTGTGTGTGTGTGTGTGTGTGTGTGTGTGTGTGTGTGTATAAGATCACATTGTGTTGGCAGTATAGGTCAGAATCGGATTTTCATCAAATATACTACAAACCCAACCCCTACAAGGTTAAAAAATTAGGTAGGAAGATGAACAGTTTTGATAAGAAACTAGTTCAATATTAGAGTTTTTAGTCCGAAAATTATGTATATGTTACCTCGTTTTGGTTCCAAAATTTCACATGTGTGAAAAGTACTCTCACTTCACCTTCCCAAAACAGCAGTGATCAAAAAACATTCAGAGAGGAGAAATGTATGTGTTTGTTTGCACTGAACTTCATATTATAATTTTGCAATGAAAGATGCGAACTCTTGATCGTAAAACTATTAAACTGCTTGAGTAAAATATCATGATTAAATTAGTTTTTAGAAATAGGAGAAATTACAATTAAGTTATGAAATATGCTTGAATGGGAATGACGTATGGAGATTATACCTGTATTTCAAGAAGCAAAATATGCTCCAGACTTTTCAGCATCCTCGGTTGTTTCTTATACGTTGGGTTTGCAATTGCTAGAGGATCTTCCATTTGGAAATAAACAGTAGTTGAAGTATGATTTTATTAATATTTGATATCTCACAACCTAATTTTCGTTAAATATTTTGTTTTTCTATTGTAAAAAAAATAAAAATTAAAAATGATGGGTATGATCCACTCTCTTTTACCTAACACCACAATTACACATTTGATTGTACCATGAGAGATTAAGATTAAAATTGAAAAAGGAAGGGACGACTAATATGCAAGTGCGATTTATACAATATTGAAACCCTAATCACCATAGTCAAAACGGCATAGGTAATCTTAGAGTTTGCACGTGTAATTCAAAATGCAATGATAAAACATGGATCTTCAAAACCCAACTGGCTCTTATGAAAGAGGGCAAAGAAAGAAAAGTAGTATGAAAGTCTTTTGGTTCCATGATGTGCAAAAGTAGCCCCAAAACTAAAAAGAGAGGCAAAGAAAATTGGGGGAGAGGAAGACACGACAGATTCACTCATTACATTCACCTTTGTGAAATTGTCAATTGTCATTCAAACTATGTTCAACTCAGTTAAAAGGAGAATCTTTACCAACGGAAAGAAGGGGGAAAAGAGAGAAACTAAATTAAAGAAGCCAAGAACGTAGAACCCCTTTTGCATGGTCTCCAAGAAAAAACATACATCATCATTAGAAATATTGAAGCTTTTGAGATGATCATGAATTGAAAAACCCTAAAGATTTCAAATCCAATATGTATTCCAGCAAAATCTTTATTCTTTTGGTGCTAGCTGTTGGTTTCTTATTGAGATTGATATATTAGATGTCAGGCACTTAAAATTGTACTTTTCATTCTTTTGTGTTTAGACCCATCTTTAGAATTGGAATCTTCTAACCCTTCTGATTCATGCAATCCATGAAAATACTCATCAATTACTTCCTCAGTTCTTCCTGAAAGCGAATTGGAAAAAGGCAAAGGGTTTGCAGAGAAGAAAAATATATATATTCTCATGGCAGAAAAGGAGAAAAAAAAAAGTAAAGAGAACGAGTTGTGAAGCATAATCATTCGAACAGAGAATAAAGTTGTCACTTCGACGTTGACGGTCGGGCCGTTTGGAAGATTAGCCTACTCGGCCAACTTATGTTGCTTTCTCTTGACCTAATTAACGTGAGGTTCATCTGACTTAATACGTGCCTCATCCTTCAACAATTTGTACTTAGGTTGGAGTGGTGATCATCACAAATGTTATGGTGCTCTTATTATTTTTGACTAAGTACAATAATTTCTTCCTACTATACTACTGAGTTTACTTTATTTTGTCATTGCCATCATGATCAATTACGTTGCACAACAGTAAGCATTTAGAAATGTCAAATGGTCAAGAAACGATCTATCTGAATTTAATCAAAATTAATCTGAGCGTGATATGTATCCACTTAGAATTATTTATGATTCTAGCTAGGAAAAAAAATGGTCTAGTCCTCTTAAGTTTTGAGTTGATAGATCATCACACACTCATCTCTAACAAACATTGTTGCTCACGTTCTGGAATCTTTCACATATTGCAGTTTCATCAACTCTTCTGCTTGTTCGTCATTTTTTTAGATTTCTTTTTTGGTGGGGGATATTACCTTTGAGAAATCTCTATTACCCGATGAAGGAAATCATCTCAATATTAGTGATATGTCCTTCACTTGAACTGGCTATATCGATCATTCATCTTCACCACCTAACATTTCCCCTTATCTTAGTGCTTAAGTTAATTAATCGCTTTCACACACACAGTAGTATATATTGGATGATGCATGTGAAAAGAAGGACAGCAGAGAGGAAAAGTTGGCGGAGATTGGGAGAAGATGAGAATGAAAATTTGATTTCGGCTAGAAATATGATAGAGCTTTCCGGAATTTGTTCCAGAATAAAAAAAAAAAAAAAAAAAGTCCAATACAAATTAAATTCCCATACGTTAAAATGTAGCACTAACCTGAATGTCTAAGACGAGAAGTTTTTTCAAACTAAAATCAAACTCATTTTTTATTTTGCATTACTCTTTGTAACTGGTGTGAAATTTAATACCTAGCTATAGCTGAAACCCTTTTGACTCAAAATGCATGCTATATGAAACAAGTAACGAAGGAAGCCAAAAATGTGATTCACTTTTTTCGCTTTCGTGATTAACGTGATTTACAGATCGACAAAGGTAAATGTTGTTCACTATCACTGTGGAACCAATTTTACTTTTTTTACGCAGCTTTTTTGCAAACTTTGCTTCCTTCTTTGATAAAAAACCGTGGGGACAGAATGGATGATCATCAACCCATTAGTAAAATATGGTCCCCCTCAGCAATAAGAATTTGGTCCTAGCTGCTGTTGACCTGCCTGATCTTTCTTCATCCCGATTCTGGACCATTGTTGTTTATGCTAGACTCAGTTCTTGTACAAATAATACAAACAATAAGTAACACAAGACGCAGAAAAAGGGAAATAAAAGCTGCCTCTAATCTAAGACCACTTCAATTATTCCTGTTTGATAGTGTTTAGCTGTTTATGGATGTAGCGCAGGACATTTACACATTGAACGATCTATAGCATCTGAAGTTAAGCATGCTTGGTCGAGAGCAGTACTACGATGCATATGAATGACCCTTGAAAAGTTCTCAAGTTGGAAAAAACGGAAACAAGAAAAAGAACAAAAAATTTAGTTATGCTACTAGCACCCAAGAATCTTATATACTACCAGTCTCCATGTAAGAACTTTCTTCTCTAGTATTTTTGCCTGTGGGGCAAATATCTAATAACGTATAATACATAACTTATTTACTTAATTTTTATTAGAACCATTACCGAAATTTGAGTATTTGGTACTTTTTCTACTCAAAATGAGTGTTTGGTTAGGGTTTTCAATTATAGTACGATTTAAATTAAAATTGAAAATTCAAACTAGATAATTTCGGAATGGAGGATTTGATTATTTCCAAAGAAAAAAAAAATCAAATTTGTTTGATGGGTTAAGAGATTGTTTACCTAACTAATGTACTTCCCAGATCGCTAGCAACTTGGGACTACTAATTATGTACTGAGCCAAAACAAGCAGATTCCCCAACAATTCGTCCTTTTCTCAATCATCTTTCACAGTGAATAATGATTCAGGCTATGTTTGTGCTTTACAATGTACCATCACATCATTGCTTGGTACAGTAATGTTATGTGCAAACGCATAATGGGTACATGATACTGTTGCACTACGCAATTCTAACTAAAAGGTGCAAAAGCCAACGAATATACTTGTTACGTCGAAAAAACTTAAATTTATTGAATTAAAACAATGTACGTATATTTATTTATTTATTAGTTACACAAAGGGAGTCCATGTATATGGAGTATTTGTAAAGTCCAAAATGTCATTGTACCAGGGAAAAGAAAAAAAAAAAAAAGAAGACGAAGAAGTCCAAAATGTCAATTGGAATTTGATATCATTGAACTTTCCTTAAATATTTACATTTTACACTCAAAAAGTAAAAGGAGCAATGATGAGCACCACACACTCAATTAGACTAGCTCGTACAAAAATCCAATAAAAAGATAAAGAAACCCAAAAGGAAAAAAGAAAAAAGAAGGAAAAAAAAAAAAAAAAAGCTCATATATGAAGTTAGGCAATCCAAAACTAGCTAGATTAATATTGATCATCATCATTTAGAGAAAATACTTGATGCCTAATATACATGAATTATTTGACCTCACAATCGATTCAAGAGCTTTGACTAAATCACTTGCAAAGGGTCTTGCTGATGGGTCAATAGATGTGCACTGAAGAGCCAAATTCATAATCTCCACCATTTGATTCTGACATTCATCCAATGCATTAGTATTTCCTTTGAGGATGTTTGGATCAACCCACGTTTCAAGCAGGCAATCCGAATAGCAGTACCGAGCCCACTGAACAATGCCGTCGTGCACGCCGAACTCGGCGTCGGAGCGGCTTTTTCCGGTCAAGAGTTCAATTAAAAGGAGGCCGAACCCGTAAATGTCACTGGCCTGATCAGAGGCAACATTGGATTCCGATGAAGTTTCTGCAATTGATTAATTAATTAACCAAGTTGTGATTATTGATAATGACTGACCATAGACTTGCATGGCCGGAAAAATAAAAAACTATAGAGAGTTTGCTTTTGCCTAATGATTGTCACTTTTAACATTATAGACTAATTTTTAAAGTACAAATGTAACAAATGATTCATGATTATGTCTTCAATTATTTAGTATCGAACAATAAAAAAATTATTTTCAAAGTACAATTATGATCAAAAAAAAATTATTTAGTATCGAACAATAACGGAAATTGGGATGGCAAAAAAATCTGACTATTCTACCAGTGAACATGGGGTAGTCAAAAGTAGAAATGATGAACAATCACTTCTGCACCATTTCCGATAACCAAAAACTATCATGACAAAATTGTACAAGGGAATCATATGGACGTTACCAATTAGGTAAGTAATTTTTTTTCCTTAAGAAAAAAAACAAAATACTACCAACGATGACTTATCATTTCAATCAAAGACAAATTACGAAAAAAGTTGAAACCAAAGACGATTAATGAAGGGATATATAGCTTGAAATTACCTGGAGCAACATGGGCTGATGAGGCAACACATTTATTGTTGTTATTGTTGTTTGCACAATTCTTTGAAGATGATGATCCGGCAGGAAAACTCAGCTTCAAGTAGGGTTCATCTTTGAGATCAACCAAAATATTCTGAGTTGTGATTTCATAATCACCAAGTTGTGAACAGCAACAATGTAGATAATTAAGGGCTCTAGCAATCTTCATGGCAACTTTTGTCCGAGAATCCCAACTCAATTCCGGAAGAGATTCACTCAAGATCTTCCCTTCAATGTACTCGTAAACCAAAATCACCGTCTTCCCGGATTTGCATGCAGCGATTAATTTTATAACATTCGGGTGATCGATCCTTCCAATTGTTTCAATCTGATGAGTATCATGGAAAGAACTTGTGTCGCTAAAGACTGTGGCGACGAATTGGAATTCGTCGTTAATGCTAGAAGTTCCTTTATAGGTTGCGCCTTTTAGTCCTCTGGAAATGAGATTTTCCTCTTTTGTGGATGAGAAAATATCCTCCACGGTCATCAATTTCAAAGCCTTGGAATTAAAGAATTGGACTTCCCAATTCCCATCTTCACTCTCCATCTTCATTGAATCCGAATCCGAATCCCTTTTACGTTTCATAATCAGATATCCAAATGCCGTTACCATAAATACCACCAAGATGAAGGAAAGAAAGCAAGTCAAGAACAACCACCATGCAGGGGATTTGTTCCGTTTGCATGGCGGTAATCCGGTCGTCCGATCGCCGCCACACAGATCATTTCCGGCGACAGCGCTGGAATTGATCACCAGGAATGCGCCGGTGGACGGTAAACTTCCATGAAAATGATTATGAGAAATGTTCACTTGAACAAGTGAACCAACAGCGCCTAATCTTGGAGGGATTTCGCCTGATAATTGATTTACGGATAAATCCAGCTGACCAAGAACCGGCATTTCCGAAAGGCTACTCGGGATTTTCCCGGTGAGTTCATTATGGCTAAGATCAAGACTAACAAGCTCTTTACACGAAGATATTTCATCAGGGATTTCACCTGAAAGCTTGTTCTCGTTGAGTTTCAGCTCCACCAATTTCAACAAAGTCCTGAATAGACCCGGAGGAATTCTACCCGAAAAGCCGTTGTCCGATAAGTCCAGCTTTTCCAGTTTTCTGCTTCCAAACGAATCAGGGATTTCACCAGTGAACTTGTTTCCAGCTAAGTTCAGCATTTGAACTTCAGGCATGTTCCATTTTTGTCCCCTGAATTTGCCATCAAGATTATTTCCAGATAAATCAAGGAAATAAACAAGAGGAAGCGATCCAAACCCGGGCGGTAATTCGCCGGATAATTTGTTGTTCTGAAGGCGAATTCGCTGCAAGCTTGTGCAATGACCTAAACTCTTTGGAATTTGGCCTTCAAGAGAATTTGAGAAGAGAATGAGCTTGAAAAGCTGATGTGATTCACATAAGCGTTCAGGGATTTTTCCAGTGAGTTTGTTTGTGGAAAGGTCTAAGATGGTGAGATTATTCTTCTTACCAAGGTCTTGTGGAATTTGACCTGATAATCTGTTTGACCATAATTGAAGAACTTGGAGATGAGGCAAAGAAGATAAAGCATTTGGTATTTTCCCTGTAATATTGTTGGAAAACAAATGGAGGACTTCCAGGTTTTGTAATTGAGTAATGGATTCAGGAATTTCTCCTGACAAAAAGTTGTCACTCAAATCAAGGGAAATTAGACTTTGGAGGCCAAAGATGGATACAGGGATAATACCTGTGAGTTTGTTGAAGTAAAGGAAAAGGTATTGGAGATTGGTAAGGTTACCAAATGATGTAGGTATTTCACCAGTGAGATTGTTGTTGACAAGATCAAGATGAGATAAGGAGGTTAACCCACCGATTTCTTTCGGAATCTCGCCGGAGAAATTGTTGTAGCCCAAATAAATCCACTTCAACCTCTTCATGAGGCCTAATTCAGGTGGAATTTCACCAATCAATTGATTTGAGGCTAAGGTCAAGAATTCCAGGTTGGTCAAATTGATGATGGACTTTGGAATTCTTCCTTCCAAAACATTCCCACCAATATCAAGTACCTTAAGACCTGAAAAACTTCCAATATCTTCAGGGATTTCCCCTGAAAGCATGTTGTTTGATAGATCAAATGTTTGAAGGAAAGGAGTTGATAAGCCTTTCGGAATTTGACCTGTGAAGTTGTTGTCGCTTAAATTCATATATTTAAGCGACAAGGGAATAGACAAATTCCCCGGAATGACACCGGAAAATTGATTATTTGAGAGATCAATGGTCTCAACATGTTGTAATTGGAATATTTTCTCCGGAATTTTCCCGGACAAATTCTTCCCGGAGAGCGAAATTTTCGCAATTCGGGAAGAATTGTCGCAAGAAACACCATCCCATTGACAAAAATGTAAAGAGGAATTCCAGCTGGAGAGAGAACCTAATGGATCATTGAATGATTCTTTGACTGTTTGAAGCAGCTCAAGCTCAGAGAAACCATATGAGGATTTGCATGAATTCCAGAAAAGGAACATGAAAATGAACAAGAAAACTTTCTTCGCCATCTTATAATCTTCCTTCTTCAGCTCATAAGGTGATGGTGATGAACATTTCTGTAATCAACCCACAAAAAATTAAAAAGAATAAATCCCAGTAAGAATAAATAAAGCCTAGGATCTGATGCTTACAGGGGAAAAAAAAAGGGAATGAAGAATATTGAACAGACACACAGCTTTAGACATTTAATAAAACCTTAACCAAAACAAAACATGATTAAATGTTATGTACAACTATAACTTTCATGTCACCATATTTAACATACATAGTGACTATTTCAATATATTCCTTACCTTACCATAGAAATCATGCAACAGGTACAGATCACTGAATCATTCAGGGATTGGGATGGAAGAAAAAGTGAGTTTTTAATTATGGGTAAGAAATTAGAGTGAAGTTTGTACTGTGAAGAGAGTGAAATGTAAGAATAGGATGAGTGTATAAATAGAAGGTGAAATCTGTTTTAGAAATGAGGCTTGAAAATGGAAGTTAATTACGGAGTTGCACCTTGACTTGAGTTTGAACACGAACGGAAGAATGAAAGGGGCAGGGACAGATGTTGGTAAAAGTTTCTGATTTGGTCGGATATATTATTACCAAAATGTGTTCTTTTGACTGGCCTTTGAAAGGTGTTACAGAGGATTTTCTTTTTTATTTCTTTGGTTCTGTAACCGTTGAAAAGTTTGAAACTCTCTTCTTCTTCCTTTTGCTTTTTGAGTCATTTGGAATATTGCATCTCCTTGTTTTGTCACTAATATTGTCATGTATACAAAAAAGTTTGTAAAAAGTTTGTATATATTTTCTAAAAGTATCGCCAAGTTTTCAACTGTTACTCAAAATCATGCTTCTTTCGTTTTGTTTTTTGACCAAATGATGAAAGAAAACGGAAATGTGATGTTCAATCATGAACTATAAAACGTATTTGAAAACCAACAACTTGAATTCACTAACGTAAGTAAGCTCAAAAGTTCCTTATAACTCATTATGTCAATCTAGCGTATGAAACTCCTTTTTATGCCTGAATTGTTCTCCATGTATACGAAATTCACACAACACTCGATACAAATGTATACATAACTAATGGATATATGGAAGTTGATTAGGGAAGATGCCACAACAACTAAAAAGTCCTCTTATCTTATGCAAAGTGAATTTTTCAAATTGAACATGTGTGCGACGCTGTTCTAAAATAATTATCTAGTTTAAATTTTCGTTTTTAGTGTAATTATTATTAGAGATGAAAATTCGTACTTAATATTTATTTCGGGACAAAAATAGTACTATCTAGCTGAACTGCATACATTCAAAATTTTCTAAAGGTTTTCAATAATGCAATGATAATCATCAAACCAAACCAAAGCCAGCAAGAGACAGAGTTGAAATCTAGTACAAATATTGATTGCAAAGCTGAATGAATAGGAAAAAAGAAGAATGTAAAAAGGTGACGTTCTTCAACCCTTTTTGCTTGGACACTTCAAAAATTACATTACCATCTTAGATTCTGCAATCTCGAATTCTCGATCCCCTTCACTTTTCCCCTCCCTTTACATGATATCTCTAACAAATACGTATACAAGCGGGAGTCACAGGTGATCATCAGGCATAATCAAAAAAAGACATAATGGAAACCGGTGAAAAAGAGAAAGAAAAAAAAAGAACAAATAATTAAGAATGGAATTAAAATTTTTGGGGATGGAAAAAGTGGGATGTCTTTTTACATTACTACACTAATGGCAGCTCGTGCGCCCCCTTTCTCTTTTCTTTTAATTTGGGACCCTTTTAATCTTCTTTCTCGAAGGAATATACAGTGTGAGGTCTTTGTCAAACCAGCATGCTTTGATCATCTCCATTTTCTAGGGTTTTTCGCCAGCTAGCTCTCTCACTATAACAAATCCCTAACATTTTCTTTAATAACCAGGATTGTATCTCGCGAGAGCTTGTTCTAATAACTTTTAAATTTAATTAAAACGTACTATATAACCTTCTTTCCACATTGAAAGCCAATTAACAATTAATCTATACTACATTATTTAGTATCAAAAAACTAATAAGTATTGGAAGAACTATAAGCCATTTTAAAAGAGCATACACTTCAATATTACAATTATGATGAACGGATTGTATTTTAAGGATTTGAAAGACTAATATGTTATAAGAATAAAATGTATTCCCTCTATCCCAAAATTATTGTTCAGTTTGAAATTTCACTTTTAGTACAATTTAAATTAGAAATGAAAATCCAAACTGGACAATAATTTTGGGACGGAGGGAGTAGTTTAAGGACTAGTTGATATTTCTTACCTGTACGTATAATGCAATAACATAGTGATCTAAGGGGGAAAAAAAGGAGGCTTAGAAAGATATGGATGTCAATCTTAGCCTTCATCAATCACCCCACGCCAGCCCCCATCACACCAATCAGATATCTCTCTATGTAATTCTCCTTTAACCTTTTTCATGTTTAATTCCCACTTTTAGGCATAGGCGCATTATGGATATTCTGTCTATATATTTATGCAATTAGGGTATATAGAAAGTTGTCCTCAACCGAGATGTGAGTTAGGATACATATTTATTATGGTGGTGGATAAGAGGGCATGCGTCTGTACGTTTTGTTTGTTTGTTTGCATATTTTTGTATAGTTTATGCATAGTGCTGGTTAGTGTTGGTGGGATTGAATTTTCCACTATTGTTATTAAAAAAAATAATAGTAATGCTAATAAAAGAGAAGAAGAATTATATCAAATTGGCAACATATCCATGATATTTTTGTTAACCCTAAAGCAGCGTATTGTTTAGCTAAAAATGAATATGAACTGAGGAAGATATAAAATTGAATTTAATTTCGGTTCTAACTTTTAAGTGGTTCGGCCTTGGTTTGCTACTTTGCCCAACATAGTGGGGTGGCAGAGAATTGCAGGAATTTTCGCAGCCAGGTTCAGTTTTGCCAGTTCGGAATCTAATTACTACTATATATATATATATATATATATATATATATATATATATACATATATATATACACATACATATATTAGCTCTATTTTTTCCCATGAAAATACAAATAATAATTGCGTCTATGCTTTTCTTTTCGTATTTCTTTTGGTTATATATGAGCTTGCGAATCTCGAATCTCGATAATGGTTTTTCGTTCCTTTTTCATCACTTGACTCTTATTTTATGTACTGGTTTCTTTTGTAAGTAGGAGAAACCTATACAAGGTTTTTTAAAAAAAAACGAAAAAACCTATACAAGGTAAGCAAGCCTAAAAAAGGTTGAGTTCGAAATAATAATCATAATACGCAGCAAAATCTTCTATAATTCAATTTATGTTGGTACGTAGCATATTGTTACTACTGATTGAGTTTATGATCTTCTTTGTGATAATATATAGTGGGAAAAGTGGATATGCACCATTTTCTGCCAAAAGTGAACAATGTCTATATAAACTAAGCTCATTGTCATTTGATGATTTCCAAAAGTTATTACTTAGGGGCACTTTTTGTGCCATTAATTTTACATTGGTTTTAGGTTTATTCCACCTAAAGGGTTCTCATAATGATAAATAAGTACTTAATTAATTGTATACATGATGCACACATGACGTGAAGCCGACCGATTTCCACAAAATAAGGGTCCTTTTTTTTTTTTTTTGGTTTAATAAGGATGGGGGTCGCAATCTTGAAGATTAGTATCAACCATTAAATATTGTTCTTAGCAGTGGTCCAATCTAATCACTTAGAAAAAATAAAGCTAGTTTATATCATGAATCAAGAATCCCAATACACTGTACTTATGGTGATCTTTGATAGGGAAAGACATGAACAAATGGTGTGATTTTTGGTGTTTTAAAAGACAAAAAGAAAGATAGAAAGAAGAAAACCACTTTGATTTATATCAAAAAAAATGTGGGGATGGATCTAATTAAGGTCCACCATTTGTGTTAACATCTTTCTTTTCTTTTACTTTCACGAGTCTTAAGGACAATGACTATTTACTACCAAATCGGGCTAAAGAATGACTTCTTTGATTGGTTTTCTCTACTTTTATTTTTACTCAATTTAAACTAAATGAATATTATCTATCCCACTACCTAACTCAGTGGTTTTCAGTCATATTAGTTTGCTGCACAAGTAGAAAATTAATGTCTTTCCATAGGAAGAAAATTAATTTTGAAACCGATATTATAACGTGTAGAAGCTTCAAATCGTTTGCTATGAAAATTTAGAGAGACATTGACTTTATCAAAAGAAATAATTCTGTAATGTCCAAAGTTACAAATTGATCAACTATTATTCGTGAATAATGTCGGTGAATAAGAATACCGCGACACAATTATACCTGACATTTTTCGTGATTTATATCATAACTCGAATCCATTTCTTTTGTCCATTTTCAAATAGTTTTGCTGAGTTGAGGAAATTAAACAGCACACGGGGATCACGAACTCTACTTGGACTGCTGGAAGGGAAGTGATGAACCCAATTTGAATTGGAAATTGGGCTGGCACGTGAATTTGTAGCCCAACACGTGCGAATAAGATCTCTAATTTGTAAATACAAGAACTTAGGAATGCTTCCACTTGAATCGCATGTTGAGTGTTTTTGTGTTTCAATTTCAATGTATGGTTTTATGATATACTATTGGTCTCGCAAGAGCCATAAAAAATTGCTATCAAAGCTGATTCTTACCCTTCAAAAGAACCCACGAAAAGGTATAACTTAAGAAGAATTTAACCCCAAACGTCACAAGGGTTTTGAGCCGACATAGAAAAGAACTATCTGTGTGTGCAAGAATGAATATGTTTAGAATGAAATCTCCGAGAGATCCGTATGAAAATATGGCGATAATGTAATGATTTTTACTTAAAAATCTTATGTTAAAATTGAAACTTGAATTCTTCTATCAGTTAACTAGCTTTTGGGATGAATTTTGCAAAGAGCTTAGGCCTTGGAGAGATCATGCTTGCTTCAAAGTCGCATGTGATTACTGATCCATGAACGGATTCTCTTCGGGAAAAGGTTGTGCAAATGGCGGCCCAGTTCACTCAAGTCTCAATTTCTTTGTCAAGTGCAATCCACTGATGCAGAAGTATTGAAGACTTGCAATCAAAAAATTTTGTTACTTTTGGCACAAAATTAATACAGTATCTAGTTGCCGGTGATAACAGAAATGGAGTAATCCATATTAACCGAAACTGAATCACTCAAACAAAGAACCGAATAAAATTAATGAACAGAGACTAAAACAGAAGATTGGGGAAAAGTTTTGTGTGTTTACGGAGTCTGTATCTTGGCCTATTCATACAAGATAACAAGTTTTATCCTAAATCTAATCATAACACGGTATTAATTACCGGATCAAATCAAATCACCAATCATATCCCTATGCTAACAGCCGGTTCTATTTGAAAGTCATAAATTTTAGCTAAGTGTGACTTTTTCTTAGTGCGGAGAGTAGATAAATGGATTTTGGGCATGGAAATCGAGTTGGAAATCTTAGTTATGAATCTCGCACGCGATTGATTCTCAAAGATTCAATTTTGATCAAATATCTCGCATATTGTATATAGTGTACTTGAGAATGAAGTTAAAAAAATTTAAGTAAAACGTTTCTGGAAGATCAAAACAAGCAAATACGACATAATTAAAGTTAATGGAACATTTTGGGAAAATTATTCATAAGAAAAGGGAAGGAAAACAATGGCAAGACAGATTAAAATTATAATACAAACATTAAAAATAGTGTATTAACTAGCACAAATATATCAGTTTTTAACGACTACATATAGCACCAATTAGATGTAACGAAGTTAAACGTCATGAAAGCTTAGGAATACAACTAGAGCTTCTAGCAATCTTTGAAAAATTAGAGGAATCACTATTAGCCCTACTCAGATTACTCCGCTTTGCTATCTCCCTCATTGTACTTGTGAAGGACAGTTTCGGGTTCAACCTCGTTGTCGAATTGAACTCTTCACAGAAGCTTCTATGATTGCTCAACGCTTCATCAATGGCGGCGCCGCCTCCTGCAACCACGGAAGAGGGTCGCGGCAGCAGTGGTGGTGGTGGCGATGGCGGTGTTGCTGTTTTCGGGCGGTTGGATCTTTCTTTGACAGCTTCGGAGCAAAGCCCGCAAACCCATTTACCGGAATGAGAGTTTTGGACTTTAAAGATGTAATCTTGGGTGCATTCTTCTTGGAGGCCACAGCAATAGCATTCCACTCTCAAGATGTTGGCTTCATCTTCACTCATTTTGGCAATGTTTTTCCCAATCTTATCTATTTCGTTTGAGACATCAGATACCACCTTTCTTAGTAGCTTCCCGTCCTGCACGTCCATCCAATTACCAAACAGAAAATTAGAAACCGACAAGTTCATTTTTTTCGTGTCTTGTTAGTGAAATTATAAAAGTATGAAATGTAATTTCTTGTTCAAACTTAAATCTCAAAGTGACAATTGTCTTGACAATGTGCGGTTCTTTCTATAATAAACTAGGGTTTATGTGTATTTAATTTTATTAAAATTAGTGTATAACAAGATATGTATATATCTTAATAAACTATATATATAATATCATGACAAATCAAATGAATGCAACGTTATTGAAACATGGGAGTTAATTTACGTACCATGGTAGGGAGGAGGCATGCTTCTGTATAAGCCATGCTTGCCATTTCTTCTTCTAACCCGATAATCTTCATTGGTTTTGGGCAACAAACCAACTAAATTGAGTTCTGTCAAGAGGTGACTGAACAAACACTTCGAAATGCTTGCCTTATGATGATTATGAACTTCAACAAGGACTATTTATAGGACCAAAAAGAAGGTGTATTTAATGAAGCACACGTTAGATTCCACAACTGATTACATATCCAGCAATGATAAGGAAGTAATTAAGGAACGAGAAATTAATGGCATAAGATAGAAATTGCTTTCAGTTTTAGATTGGCCATGACCTATAGGGTATAGGTTTCCTTGCTTTTTTCTAGCTTCCAGTAAAAAAGATCAGCAAGAGGGGTTGCTTTGCCATGCAAGTAATGGTAAAAGCCACTTATAGGTTTGCCTTTGCATGCAAATTTGCAACGTAGCAACATCTTACACCACTTGTTTTTTCAAATTGGATAAGCCAAACTAAAATTTTATTCAAATTATGGAACCAATTTATTCTTTTTCTTAAAAGAGTATTTTATAAACAGTTAATAGAAGCAACTGTTTTTTAAAGAAAGGAAAATGTGAGTATACTTCATCAATCATCATCATTAGCATAAATTGGGATGACATTTAAAATTATTTGATAAATTTTAATGTCAAATATTTGCCTATAAATTTATTTTTATTTTTTTAAAAAAAAAAGCCTCAAACTATTGTCATCATAAAACAAAATGTTTAGAATCCACTCGTGAGGATTCACAAGCTGAAAGCTATTGATTTCTAATAACCTAGGCCATATTCTCTGAATCAACTAGTAACTTACTACAAACAATTAACTTATCTGTAAACAGTTAGGCTCTATAAGTATCACATGACTACTTTGTACGTCTCACAACAATAAATATCTCATGAAGATCTACAAAAAGTTGTTCTTTAACCTCACTTTCCCAAGCCCGGCATACTAGATACTGATAGATACCCTTAAACTGGAAGTGCACAATGAATAATACTCCCTCTTGTCCCAAAAACAAATTACTTTCAGGTTTGAGATGTATATTAAATTAATTCAGTACAAATTAAATCTCAAAAACCAATGTATTATCTTCCGTACAAATTTTAAAATTCAATATAGATTTTTCCTGTTGGATAATGATAGTATATATGTTGTTCCACGAGCCAAATCGAGCTGATGAACATCTTATAAGTAATAACCACTTGCTTTTAGTGTTTTTTTTTTTTTTGGGGGATCTGATTTGGGAAAGTGGTTAACGAAACTAATTATTTTGCATAACAAGTCCATCAATCTATTTAGATTGATCAGAGCAATATCAGACATTAGGTCCAATGTTTTAGGCAATCTCTTCTTGTTGAGAATTGGAAACAAGTTATTGTGCCATTGCGATTGAGATGAGAATTATCAATTATATGTAAGCGTCTTCACACACTGAGCCCAATTCATCAGGAGTCCAGTGTGGCCCGCGCACTATAAAAGCAGATTTGATCTTTTAAAGCATCTTCAATCATAAACTAGTTCATATACATAAACTAAAAGGCGGAGATCATATTCACTCCGATACTATAGTAGGTAAACTTGAAAGTGAAAGAGATATCATTAGCTTTTTGTTAGTTAGAGCAAAAGCTGTTACAGAAGAAACTGCTATCGGAAGTGGGCTATTGGTTTATATTCATAAACTTTCTCTTCATAAACTTTTGGTCACATTGAATTTTTACCGGTTTATGTATTAACGGTGGGCCACTCTTCATCATAAACTCCCTCGTGGACAATCATTAAGGATGCCCTTAGATCAACACAATATACAATGTTACACAATCTCTTGTTCAAAATTGCAAAGTTACTATATGCTAATGTGATTGAGATGAATCGTCTATAAGGGGTCTTTTCCCTAAAAAAATTAATTAAAATAAAGGTGGACAAATTTAAATTTTTCAGAATATTTGTGGGCAGGAATATATTCCACGGATTTTCGAAATCCGAGTTATAATTAAAATTAAACATTCGGATTTTGGAAATCCGAATCTACATTTAATAATAAAATAATAATTAAATAATTTTGTTGAATAATAGTTTTTAAAAAATCTTACATGAAAAAATGTCGTTCGGATTTGCGTAATCCGAGTCCCATTAAAAAATAATAAATTGAGGCGCGAAATATTTGAACTCAAATAAGGAGGAGTCCAGGACCTAGACTCCTTAAATAAACAGTAGTACTCAGATTTCCAAAATCCGAGTTCTCAAAAAGAAAAAAAAATTAAAAAAAAATCAAGGCGCGAAATTTTTGAAATCAAAAAACTGGAATACCGTAATCCGGTTACATGTATTAGTGTTATGTACTATTTGTACGTACTAGTATTATGTAGTATATTAATATTATTACTCATTATACATTATTGTACTATTGTTATTTATTACTTTTAAATCTGTTACTCATTATATATTATCATTAATTCAGTATAATTTATCTGTACTAGTGTAATGTACTATTTGTACGTACTAGTATTATGTAGTACATTAATACTAATACCCATTATACATTATTGGTACTATTGTTATTTATACTTGTAAATCTGTTAGTCATTATATATTATCACAAAAACAGTATAATTTATTTGTACTAGTGTTATGTACTATTTGTACGTACTAGTATTATGTAGTATATTAATACTAATACCCATTATACATTATTGGTACTAGTGTTACTTATTACTGTTAAATCTATTAGCTATTAGATATTATCATAAATTCAGTATAACTCATCTGTATTAGTGTTATGTACTATTTGTACGTACTTGTATTATGTATTACATTAATACTATTGCCCATTATACATTACTGATACTAGTGTTACTTATTACTGTTACATCTATTAGTTATTAGATATTATCATTAATTTAGTATAATTTATCTGTATTAGTGTTATGTACTATTTGTACGTACTAGTATTATGTAATACATTAATACTATTGCCCATTATACATTACTGGTACTAGTGTTACTTATTACTGTTACATCTATTAGTTATTAGATATTATCATTAATTTAGTATAATTTATCTGTATTAGTGTTATGTACTATTTGTACATACTAGTATTATGTAATACATTAATACTATTATTTATTATACATTACTGGTACTAGTGTTACTTATTATTGTTAAATCTATTAGTTATTAGATATTATCATAAATTCAGTATAATTCATTTGTATTAGTGTTATGTACTATTTGTACGTACTAGTATTATATAGTACATTAATACTATTACTAATTATACATTACTGGTACTAGTGTTACTTATTACTGTTACATCTATTAGTTATTAGATATTATTATTAATTTAGTATAATTTATCTGTATTAGTGTTATGTACTATTTGTACGTACTAGTATTATGTAATACATTAATACTATTATCCATTATACATTACCGGTACTAGTGTTACTTATTATTGTTAAATCTATTAGTTATTAGATATTATCATAAATTCAGTATAATTCATTTGTATTAGTGTTATGTACTATTTGTACGTACTAGTATTATGTAGTACATTAATACTAATACTCATTATACATTAGTGGTATTTTTGTTATTTACTATTGTTAAATCTGTTAGTTATTAAATATTATCATTAATTCAGTATAATCTATCTGTACCACTGTTATGTACCTTTTAAGCAAATAATTGCATTTTCAGAATCTGAGTCAAGCAAAAAATTAGATTTTCAAAATAAGGTCATAGGGTTTAGGGTTTAGGGTTTAACTTCGGATTTCCCAAATCCGAGTGTTACTTATACTCGGATTACCAAACTCCGAGTGTAACCTATATACGGATTACCAAAATCCGAGCGCAACATATACTCGGATTATCAAAATTCGAGTGTAACAGATACTCGGATTTAGGGTTTAGGGTTTAGGTTCGGATTTCTAGAATCCGAGTTTATTAGGGAAACATGGAAGATTCGGATTTCGGAAATCCGATTCGTGTCCAAAAAATTACCAACACTTGTACAAAAAATTTTTTTCCAAAAAATTAATATTTTAATCATAAAGTCGGATTTCAGAAATCCGAATTCTAATTAATTATACCAGATTAAAAATTTACTTAGTTTTAGTTTTAATTAAAATGAATTCGGATTTTTAAAATCTGTTTTCTATTGAATTCGGATGACCGAAATCCGAATTTACCTCAGATTCGGATTTTAGAAATCCGGAGGATATAGGTTTGCCCACACAAATTTCAAAAAAATTAATTTGGTCTATTTTTTTTAAGAAAATTTTTTAGGTAAAAAACTCCATCTATAAGTGTGTTCACATATTAAGCCCAATCCATCATGAGTCCAATGTGGCCCTCGCACAATAAAAGTAGATTTGATATTGTAGATCAACCCAATTAAAATCTTATACTCCCCCGCTCATAAAATAACTATATTTTTTTGGATGAACACAATCATTTTGGAAAACAAAAAATGTTATTTTAATGCGGACAACTTTTATCTGTTTTCCATCTTGCTGTAATATCCAAATACAGAAGCAGCCATGAATCCAAAATACACAAATTGCAGCAAAAGTACAAAACAAGTGGAAAATGGCTTTGATATTTTGATACTCAACTTCACACTCAACAAGTCAACATCATTGAATGCGGAGTAGTCTTTCAAGCTAAGTATAGTGTAACACTTCGGTCGTCAACCTTTGAAGTTGAAGTTGGCACAGGAAGTTTGCTGAAGAAAGAGCAAAGAAGTGAAGCCAAGCCTATTTGATTCAAGATCAAACTGCAATAGATTGTTCTGAATCTGATGCGCCCCGATCACCATCCCTACTTCGCGATTTTCGCCTCCATCGACAAATCCCAAGCACAGCACATCTTTACTCACCTTAACCATTGAGTTCTCACCATAAATCCTCCACCAAACACTCTCATGATGAAGCCCCAAATCAATGAATGGAGCACTAGGACCAACTTGTGTGTAAGGCAAGCTCTTGGAACTGTAACACACTTCAAATGGAGCCACAGCTTTGACTCTAGGAATATGTGCTAATTCCTTTATAAAAGCCTTCTTAAAAGCTCTGTAAATGGATGTTTCCATCACTGTGTAAGGATGAATTGTACTAATCTTTGTACCACCATAACCTTCCTTATCAATCGTCAACAATGTCGCGTTAATCGGCACTTCTTTACCGCTGATTTTGATGGATTTGACTTGAATCCAGTAATCCGATGAGAAATCATCCTTGAAATGAACTCCTGGAATGCTGAATGGCTTAATCAGAAGAGGAGTGTAAAGCAAATAAACAGAGATATCCCTGTTAGGATTCGTCATATAAGGCTTATCACCGAAATACAAAACGCCAGTTGATCTGGTTGAATTGCTTAAGCAGAGTGCAAATTTATTAGGAAGACGAAATCCCTTGCTCAATAATGAAGGCAACCCAAGTTTTCCCCTGCCAAATCCTGCAAAACCGTTCACATTCTCCGGAGTTCCTTCCAAAATCGATGCTTCGCCGCAGGCGAAAACGAACCCGGCCGAAGTGACTAAATGCCCTGCTTTTGACGACCCATTGTTTGATTGAAGAGCTAGGAGATCCTGTGCGAGTTCTTCTCCGGTGAGATGGTCGGTGATTCGGTTTCTGATTGCTGTAGTGCAGGTGTTATTGTTGCATCCGGGCTGAGGACCGACGTAGCAATCTCGGCAACCACCGCCACTGTAAGTTGAACAGACTTTTGAGCCACAATGAGCAGCTTTATAGGATGAACTGTAATATAACCTCTGATCACAATCGACCCAGAGATTTTCACCTCCCAAATCTAGTGTCAGTTTGACTGGCACAAGTGGAGTTCTTTGGTAAATCCTGGTGATGTATTGAGTGTATTTGGTTGATTGATCTTTTTGTATGGGAAGAACAAGACCATTGGGTTTTACAGGAACTGGATTCAAGACCAAAAGGAAAGAGATGAACAGAAGAACAATGTAGGCGGCCATTGCTAAAATTACCAAATGCTTTTCACAGACAGACAAGGGGGGAAACTCAGGGTTTATAAAATGGGATTTGGTAAGCTGTGATTAAACTAAGGATATATGGAGCATAGAGAATCGTGTAAACCCATACTTCATTTATCATCATAGAGGCTGAGAGTTTTGACCGGAGATTTGCAAGTTGCATCATGTGCGCTTAAACTTAAAATAGAAAGGATTCAAGATACACATTGGAATTTGAGAATGTGAATAAATTTTGTAGCACTAATCCCTCCCAGGTGACTGCGTCTTCTTGTAAAAATATGCCTGAGGCTTCCCAGAAAATGCACCCCATGTTTTGAATTAAAACGAAATAAATTATCGCATACGAAGTTGAAGTTAATTTGAATTTCTGGAGATTTTAAATGTGGAAACCTGAAGTAGATGCTGAATTTAGAAAGAGTTGCAATGAATTTCAGTATCAACTTTGAATCAACTTGAGCTTCATAAGTTTTTTACTCTAGTTTAGACAAAGAAACAATGACACTGTCAAACAGTAAGAAATCGCAGAGAATGTGTTTACGAGAGAAAAAAAAAAAAAAAAACTATATGTTTCGATGAGTAGTTCTCTGTAATTTTATGTTTTTATGTTCTATTAGTTAATAATAAGGAAAAAAAAATCATAAAGATTGTGAAAAATTAGTGATAAAAAGTTGAATTACCGAGCCGAGTTCGAGTCGAGCTCAAGTTTATGAAAATTGCTACCGAGTCGAGTTCGAGTCTGATAATTTGTACTCGACGAGTTCAAGCCGAAACAAAACTGTTCGAGTTCGAATAGACCATTACTCGGGCTCGAATCGACTCGAATACACCCTCTAGCCGACTATCATCGAAGATTCAATTGTGAAAAAATTCAGTCTTAAGAAAGAAATCGATGGGTTTTCAAGCATCAGGCTTGCACAAGATAAGAAAATTGGGGTGCAAAGAGAAATGCTTAGTGAGTTACTGTCTACTACTACTAAATAGGACCGTTTTGAGGCAAAACCCCTTTCAGCAATATAAAACAATTTTCCCGATGCTCAGAATTTGTTGCATTTTTGTAGGTGTTGAATGCATAGCACGCGCTATCGATTTCGAGGTTGGTAGAGAGTTGCGGATTTGACCTTGTAAAGCATTTTGGTCGAGGATATATTTAGCTTTTTTGTAGATACTTCTCCTCGCCTAAACCCATGTTTGTTTCTTTTGCTTCTCGTTTTCATAATGCAGTTCTGTATGTATGTATATATGTGTACAATGTACTCAGTCTTTTGTGTATTTTTGCTCGAGCATGTAAATATGCATATAGCTTCAAACAAAGTGTATGCGTAGATAATTATTCGCTTCATTGTATCTATTTGCTTCATTATTTGCTTCACACGATTGGTCTTAACTCTTAACCTTGCATTCGATTTTACGGTACAGTGAAATTGTAAATCGACTCAACTAAATAAAAATAGTCACTATCGGAGGCAACCTCTATACATCCATAAACTTCTGTTTCTTTTAAATATAGATGGGATACGCTTTCTCTGACTCTTTCGATGTTAATTGTCAATCAATAAGATGTGTCTTAGAAACTTTAACTCTGGACCAACACCAAGATATAGTGTTCACTTTAACCAAAACACAAAATACTCCAATTCGGACTCTTTTTTTCCCTCATTCTGTTTTTAATTATATTGGTCTTTTCCCTAAACATAAGAAATACGTATGGGCGAATTTGTCAAAATGATGGTACATATAACCGATAACGTGTTGACAAAGCTTCCAACATGTGTATATATTTGCTGAAAAGTGAAAATGCCGTCCAAATTGTCTTCCAACTAACTCCTTTCATTGACTTAATACATTTCCTTTGTTCTGTTCTGTAAACATGATTACCCTAATCAGTGATCCATTATAATTTTTCTCGTCAGTAAATTAGTGATCTGTTATAATTTATCTTGTCAGTAAAACTGCGTGTGTTAATTTACAGTCGATCGACGAATAGTACATCCTTTTTTGTCTTGCAAAGTAAGGGACCTTAGAAAGATTGGAAAAATCTTTACCTGGTGCAACCAGAGGTTGGGTGAGGATAGAATTTATGCTAAGTTGGATCGAGCCTTGGTTAATGGTGAATGGATAGATGAGTAAGCAATCAGTGGTCACATTCCTGATGGAGAATGTGTCAGATCATACCCCAATTGAGTCAAACTAGAAGGGCAGACCAAGCAAAAGCCAAAACCCTTTAGATACTTCAACATGTGGAGCCAATCTCCACAATTCTTGAGTATTTTATGTCCAGGAGATTGTACATTCTATGAGTCGCAAAAAGGGGAAGAAAGGTTGGATGGCGATCAAAATCGACTTGGAGAAAGGTTGTGACAGACTGGAGTGGAGTTTCATCAACGGAACATTAATCGCTGCAGGCTTCCCTAACAATTTGGTGGAATTGGTGCACAACTGTATCTCCTCCTCTACGTTGAGGGTATTATGGAATGGAGGAACGACTAAAAAATTCAGTCCGTCAAGAGGCATAAGATAGAGAGACTCCTTCTCGCCCTACCTTTTTGTTCTTTGTATGGAAGTGTTAGCACATAATATTACTACTGCTGTTAATAGAAAGGAATGGACTGGAATAAAGTTGGGCTCCAGTGGCCCTATCCTATCACATTTATTTTTTGCAGATGACTTTTTTTGGTTTTCTGAGGCAAATTTGGAATAGGTAGACGTAATTAATGATGTGTTGATGAGTTTTTGCAAGTGTTCAGGAGAGAGTGAATTCCCAGAAGACCAAAATTTTCTTCTCAAGGAACACCCCACAATAGCTGCGGACTCAAATCAGTCGTAAGTTTGGGTTTGGAATGACGGAGAATCTTGGGAAATATCTCGGGTCGCCTATTCTACATGGTAGGGTAACCAGAGCAACCTACAATGACATACTGGAGAAGGTTAGAGCCAAGTTATCAAGCTGGAAGGCCAATCAGTTGACGTTAGCAGATTGTATCACACTGGCTCAATTGATACTGCAGTCAATCCCTATGTTTTAGATGCAGACCACAAAACTACCAATTCATGTGTGTGATGAAGTAGATAAGCTGATAAGAAACTTAGTGTGGGGCTCCACTGTTGATAGGAGGAAATTACATGTAGTGAATTGGGACATGGTGTGTAGGCCTAAGGAGGAAGGGAGATTAGGTTTGAGAAAAGCACGAGAAAATAATATTGCTTTTCTTATGAAGTTAGGGTGGGAATTGGTTTGTAAAGAGGGAGAGCTATGGGTTCAAGTTCTTAAAGGAAAATACTGTAAGAAGGAGAAGGGTTGTTGGAGGTTGAAAAGAACCAGGTATGAGTCTCCCCTGTGGAAGGGAGTCTTTGACACGTTCCACTTAGTTGAGAAGGGGTTGACTTGGGCCATTGGAGATGGGAAAACAACAAGGTTCTGGGAGGACAGATGGGTAGAGGGATTAGGGAAATTGCAGTATCAGAGGGTGTGCCAAATCCCTGATAGGCTTAGAGCTTCTTATGTGGTGGAATTCATCAAGGCAGATGGATCGTGAGACGTTGATAGGTTTAGCCCCTACCTCAGCAGAGAGGTTGTCAATCAAATACTGAGAATTCCTCCTCCAAATGAGGATGTGGAAAAGGATCAGCCTAGATTGCAACACGATAAATCAGGTAAGTTCTCAATTAAGTCAGCATATGATTTGGCTCTTGATAATACTATGTTGCAGGTTCATCGAGGCTGGAAGAAAATATGGAAATGGGGAGGTCCCTAGAAGATTAAAACCTTTCTATGGTTGGCAAGTCATGGAAGAATTCCCACCAATGAATTATGCAAGAGGAAAGGGGTGGTTCTGTCAGAGGGGTGTTCGACTTGCAATTGGGAGGTGGAATCTACAATTCACGTGCTAAGAGATTGCTCTTTGGCGAGAAATGTGTGGCTGCAAGTAGCAAGCTCAAGCCGTCTACAGAATTTCTTCCAGATTGGCTTACAAGAATGGTTGTACTCTAACTTAGAGGATGCGGATTAGGCATGGTGAATCAAGTTTGGGACAATAGGCTGGATAGTTTGGAAAGACAGGAATGACGGCTTGTTTAATGGTGGACACACTAGTGTCCAGAAAACAGTCAGATCAATCCAACATCTAGCAGGGGAGATTGAAAGATCGCAGGTAGCTCTAAGGTGGCAGAATGTAGGAAGAAACAGGGATGAAAGATCCCTAGTGGGATGGGAGAGACCCCCAGATTCATGGGTTAAAGCTAACTGCGATGGTGCTATTTGCGAGGGAAGTAGAAGAGCAGCAATCGGGGGACTTCTCAGGGATGACAAGGGAATATTCCTAAAAGCATTCAATAAAAGCTTGCCTTATTGTTCCGTTGAATCCTCAGAATTGAGAGCCATCCTTGTTGGCATGGAAGTGGCCAAAAGGTTAGGAGTAACCAAATTAATGTGTGAATCAGATTCATATAAAGCAATTGAATTAATCCAGCGAATGCAGGATCAAACTGGAGTTCCTCTTGATCGTGAATTGAGAGGGATTCACACTCTTTTGAACTGGGAGATGTGTTTTGTACATACGAGTAGGGAGAAAAATATGTATGCTGACGCTTTAGCTAAGACGGCTTTGGATTTAGAAAGGGGGTTATATTTTTTTGAAGTCCCCCCGACTTGTATAGATGTGTTATTAGGCAATGACTCAAGGAGAGTCCCCTGATGTATTTTGTGGCGTTAGCCTTTACTTGAAACTTTTCACCAAAAAAAAAAAAAATAGTGAATACATATGTGAAAAAATAATAATTGAGTGAGGAGTGGGAGGGTTGGGTGGGGTGGTTAGGAGATTAGGATGGGGGATGGTTATTACCAAGAGGTCGAGTGTTCGATTCTTGCTGGGGTCATCTAATTTTTTTTTAAAAAAATAATAATTGAGTGAAGGATTGGAAAAATAAAAATAATTCACTAGAGGAGCTGATTTGGGCCTTTCGACAGCTTGGCCGATTTTATCTAATGAAGCCAACATTTGGGCATTTGCTTGATTGACCCAGTCACGATTCTTGGGCCTTTAACGCCAAGTTAGTTTTTAAGTCACTGTTATTATAATAAAGTTTAAACGTTAGCTTAAGATGATTTTAGAGTGCGGAAACTCAACTCTTAAATGATTTTTTTTGCATATGTAACTAAGTTGTTGAAGTTTCCTCACCATGTATAAAGACATAAATAAGTAAAAAAATAAAAATAAAAATTGATCATTCTCTTACATGAAGGAAAAAAAAAAATTACAACACTCACATTTTTTATAGGCATCAGTGCGAGAAAATTTCCAAGGACGTACCAAAACTTTCAGTTTAATAAATTAGTGTATTTCCTGACGCATACAATTCCGATATTATTTTTTATAAAGTTTATAAAAGTGACTTTAAGATTTGGCTAGTATTAATGGAAGGGAAAGAAAATACTAAAGCAATATGGTTGTTTTTTTTTTTTTTTGTCCAAGACGATATTCATATTTCAATTGGAAAAAAGAAAAGGTAATAGAGATTTACAAAGAGCTATTACAATCCGCCTTAAACGCTTCATCTAGCCACAAAGGGGCATTACCTTCCCAATTTTGTGTAGAAATGCTAGATAAAGTTAATTTAGCTAGATTGTGGCATGTCGAGTTCTATTGTTTTTTAATAAACATAAATTTACAAATAGCAAAATTATTTTTTAGCAAGAAGATATCTTCAACTATGATTGAAACATCTGAAACAGGGGTAGTATACCCTTGTAACCAAGTCACCATAGCCTTAACATCTAATTGCATTTCTATGTTCTGGATACCTCTCTCCTGAGCTTCCATCATTGCTAGTCTCACTGCTTCTAATTCTGCTGCATAATCATTCATTATCTCACCTTTAAAGACAGACTTTGCTAACAGCAAACTACCCTCATCACTTCTCATGCAAAAAGCCAGCCCTGCACCCTTTTTACTTACCACTCTGTCTGATGCCACATTAATTCTCACAAAGCCTTCCACTGATTTTTGCCATGGTTGGATTGTAGGCTGAGCTGTTTCCTTCCTCTCCTTCCCTTTGGCATCTTGTGCTTGCTGAAACACATTTCATTCCTTTAGTGTTTTTTTTTTTTTATCACTTCCCATCTTTCACTTCTTTTTTCCTCAAATTGCCACATATTCCTTGCCTTCCACGGTTGCCAAATAATATAAATTGAGATGGAAACTCTGTCTTGAAAGGCTGAACATTTCTGAGCTTTGATGATAGCATCCCACCAATCCACAAACTTCCCTGTCAAGTGTTGGAGCCCGTCCCACTGCACAGGTGCCAAATTTCACACCATTTCAGCCAAATGACACTTAAACAAGATATGTTCAGTTATTTTTGTCCCATTGCCACATATTTTACAAGTTTCATCTACCCTCATTCCCCTTCTACCCAGTTCAGTTCCTACTGGTAGCCATCCCTTATACAGTTTTCAAGGAAATGTTTCAGCTTTGCTTTAACAGGTAAATTCCAAGTTCTTGACCACATCCTCTTCTTCTCTTCCCTTGAATAACTTGTTTCCATTTCCCTGCTATTCACCTCTTGCCTCCTATATACTAATCTTGTTGCTGATGATACCAAGAACTGCCCATTCTTTTCCTCCCCCCATACCATCCTGTCACATCTCTCCATCATACTCAACGGTATATGTTGAAACGTTTCAGCCTCCTCTGGGATGAATATTTCGTTCAAAAGGTTAGTTTTTCATAGTTTAGCTTTTTGGTCAATCACCTGGGAGACTGTTTTCAGATTTCTGGCATTCTCTTCTCTTCCAAGTGGACCCACCACACAGGTGCTGGGGAGCCATTTATCCTCCAATATATCCACCCTTCTCCCATCTCCAATCTTCCACCTCATGCCCTATTGGATCACCCCCTGGCACTAAGCCACCCTTTTGAAAGCCAAGAGTCTTTACCTTTTTGTTGAATCTCAAAAATGGAGCAATAAGGATAATATCTCCCTTTCATAACTTTTGCCATCAATGTACTCCCTCCGTCCCATAATTATTGTTCAGTTTGAGTTTTTATTTTTAGTTCAAATTGTATTAAAAGTGAGATCTCAAACAGGACAATAATTTTGGGACAGAAGGAGTATTTGGCTGTTGGATCACCCTCTGTCACTAAGCCACCTTTCCAAAGCCAAGAGTCTTTGCCTTTTTATTGAATCTCAAAAATGGAGCAATAATGATAATATCTCCCTTTCATAACTTTCGCCATTAATGCATTTGGTTCGGTAATCAGTCTCCATACCTGCTTTGACAGTAAAGCAATATAGTTGATAGAAAGCAATATAGTTGATAGATTGGTTTGACAGTAAAGCAATATAGTTGATAGATTGCTTTGACAGTAAAGCAATATAGTTGATAGAAAGCAATATAGTTGATAGATTGGTTTGACAGTAAAGCATGACGTTAGCACTTCTTTTTTTTTATATATATATAGTTGATATATTAGATTAATGGGATCTAGTTGAGAGATTAGATTGGTGGGATCTATGGGAAAGATGATAGTATTACTATGGGGGAGACTCTATACGCGCACGCTTCGATGTAGTATGACATTAGCACTTCTTTTTTTTTTTTTATATATATAGTTGATATATTAGATTAATGGGATCTAGTTGAGAGATTAGATTGGTGGGATTTATGGGAAAGATGATAGTATTACTAAGGGGGAGACTCTATACGCGCACGCTTCGATGTAGTACTTGGAAAGCCTACTGACAGTGTAAGGAAAACCTGCACAAACTCAACACTGAAAGTGCTGTTAGTGAGGTTCGAACCCGGGTCTCTCGGGTCTGATGCTAAAGCCCCAACCAATTGGGCTATCCCTCTGTTGGCACATTAGTACTTCAAATTTGATCAACTTCGGTTTGTCGTTCAACCAATATTTTTCGTGCTACATATAGATAGCTTCGTAAACTTTTGTCATCTTATCTTTTACTTCTTTCCTCTGTTTCTTAAATAAGATTAATAATTATCGTATTGTTTGCTGATATTATGTACTATTATCTACTGCTATTTGTTTAGTTATTAAATAATTTCAGGATCGTTACGATAACAAACAGAAACCAGATTTTAGGTGTTGGAATTCATTCCCTAATGCGATTAGGCAGTCTAGCTACCAAACACTGGATGATTCTCAAAAGAAATTTGTTGAGCTACGTTTTCTTTCTCGCCTCATTTTATTTACCTCTCACGTAAACGTCTCTCTTATGCTCCTAGGACTGCACATGAGATTTTCAAAAGAAGCAAGTTTGTTAACACAGCAAGCATAAGATTGAAATCGGTAATTGCGATTGAAAGAGAAACGGACTAATTAAATATGGCAAGATGCGACCATTTTTTGTCCCTGTTAATTCATTGAATTCATGTTGATCACCCTCGTGTAGTGCATAATACTACATTGACAAGATCACATATAGCTGACCCTTTATCTCAACATAAGATTGTTTGTCTTACTTATTGAATATTTTTTTGTATTTTTATTTATAGTTTACTTTTAATCTATAACACATCAATTGTAATTTTTTTATGGACTAGTATTATTTCGGTTATATGGTACAATTGGTCCATAACAAGTGAAACACACGGTCTCATTTGCTCTTAGGAAAGAAAAAGAAAAAAAGATAAAGAAAAGACAAGAAAAGATGGCATCGAACAATTTTTAAGAGCACAAGTGCTCAGCAATTTTAAGAACATATCGATATCTAGATATAATTCATTTTATTAATTTTTGTATTTTCCAAAACCTATTTTTGAACTATTTATAGTGGCAAATCCTAGTTTAAAAAGTTATGTTTCCGAGTTATTGTGAAGGAAAATTATATTTGGATTTTCTTTTTCCTTTTGTTCTTTTTGGATTTAGTTTGACGTAGTGTCAACATTGTAGTTGCCGCTTCTTATTGTTTTTGTCATTATCAATATCGACGAAATGGTCTACTCGTCTCACAAAAATAGGGAGTAATAATATATATAAAGGTAAACTCCAAAAATCAGAAAAAGGAAAAAAAAGAAAAAAAAAAAGATTTATACGCAAATTTGGGTTCACAATAAATACCGCCAATCGCGTATATCTTTTTCTCCTTTCGTTTTCTTCCCATTTTTTTCTTCTCTGCCTTTTTCCTTTCTTCTTCTTCTTCTCCTTCTCAAACTCATCACGACCACACCATTTTACTTCGTGTTTTCCTTCTTGAGTTCGCTCATCTTCATTTATTCAGAATTGAACCCTTTTTTTTTTCTCTCTTTTAATTTGTTTGATTTAATTATTTAATCCGATCCATTGCCGCGATGGAGGCGGCGGAGCTCACATCCGGTGCCAGCGGGCGTATAATTCCGGTGTTTAGAAACCTCCGCCGCTCAGTTTTCTCCTACGACGCCGTTCTGAGGGGTTTTGTTTTCATTAAATCTGTTTTCTTATGGATGATCCTCCTCCTCCTCCCTCGCCGCCACCGCCCTGGGTCGCCTCCGTCGTCTCCGGTTTCCGATTCTGATTCTGATGTCTGGTTGAAGAAGAAGAAAATTAGGAAAGACGAGGAGGATACTTTACGACGCAGAGCTCTTGCCGAGGCCTTGCAGATGGTCAGTGACGTAGGTAGGGTGTCTGATACGACGGAATCGGAGGAGGAGATTGGGAATTGGAATCCCCGCTGCCTCTGGAGCACCTCCTTGTTCTTTGGGGTTCGTCACAACGCTTTGTTTTGCCGATCGTGGCTTCCGGCTTTTGGTGAATTAAAGTATGATACGGCTTTCCAACTCTTTTCATTCTGCATCAATCACTAGTTTGGGTGTCTGTTTTTCTTTCTTTTTTTTTCCCCATGAATTTTCCATCATTTTTCCCCTTTACTTGTTTAAGCTTTCAAATTTTCATTCTTTTTACTTTTTTGTTTGGGGAAATATTGTTGGCGAGCTGTTATGTTAGTATAGCTGTCTTTTATTTGAGGAAGGCTCTTGAACTTTCTGAGTAGATAGATTAAATATGCAACGGTTAGCTGGACATTGGTTGAGGATTTTTTACAAGATCAAAGTTGTGCGTAGAAAACTGAAAGCAAGGAAATACCCGGTATTATTTTACATTTTAATATGTGGGAAGCATGTGGCTCGTAGTGATCAGGAACTGGCAGGCATATTCTCTTACCGTGTTGTGTGGATAATTTAATGTGTAGTCAACCTCACAATTGGGGAGAGAGTTACCTCGTCAAGGAACCTAACTAGAAAGCTAACGGACAAGATTTCGTGGATGTCTATGTATTGCAAAGTGAAGATAAGAATGCCTCCTGCAAAGAATAAAAAAAACATATTAATCATGTTGTCTTGTCCTGCTTGTTCAGATTAGTGCTTAATGTTGGACTAGTTTAATTTTAAATTCAAAATTAGAATAGGCAGTTATTTGGGGGCCGAATGCATGATCTAGTTATTCTGAATTTTCTACTCACAATCTTTAATGTTGGCCTACCTCTGAGTTAATTAATCTTTTCTGAAATATGTCTGTGAATATGCATATAAGACCTGAGGGAAGACGTCATTCAAGATGACAACGAGGGATATACCAAGGGTGCAGTTGGCTCAACTGCCCTGCTAAATTTGCGTGCCATCTGATGTTTTATTATTCTTCAAATGCAAGATACTACTTATCTTTTCTTATATGAGATCACACCAACAAGTTTATGATTTGATCAACGTTGCCACTTCTTTTTATGCATTCACATTTGATTGTTCTGTTTGATCTTTTATTTGACCCCTTCCTGACTATCCTCTAAGATATTTGCTTCTGTGAGTTCTTTTAATTGCTGGAACTGGAATATCATGTCTTGGTTCTTGTTTCAAGCTTTTGCTTTTGCTTTTGCTTTGTATGCCTTTTCCAAGCTCACTTTATCCGTTAGGCATTTCTTCCTCTTCTGAAGTGCTGGAAAACCAGTATTAAATTAGATGAAACCTATCAGGGCTCCAGTGCTCCCATTCTTAGAATTTTGTTGCCTACAGTTGTAGCAGCAAGAGCATGGACATTTCTCAGTTACGAGCTTATATCACTTTTACTCTTCTATGGTACTCTATATTAATAAATTCTCTTTTTCCTTTCATTCCTGCAGAGGTATCATGATCATCATCCATGGCCTAAATGAGCACAGGTACTACCAATTATGAGCTTTTTTAAATGGAGAGAGTGCTTTTAATCTCCTTGTTTGATACTGAAGTTATGGCTTTGTTGTGAGAATTTGGCCATTATGTTGGAATGCTGTGCTTTCGGTTTACATTGTAGCTCTAATAGAATTTTCATGACTTTTTTACATGTGCAGTGGACGATATGCTGATTTTGCCAGACAACTGAACTCCTGCAACTTTGGAGTCTATGCAATGGACTGGATAGGTAGCTGCTTTATTGCATTCCTGTAGTTTAGTTCTGTTTAAAATTTAGGTATCACTAGTAAGATATAAATGCTCATTCTGCCAGTATAATATCTATTGGATATCGTGTGACCCTCTGTTTCATTCCAGAATTGTATGAACTTGTATTTCTGGGAAAACAGATTTCTGGCAGAATATCTCCCTGCTTATTTGCTCTGCTAGATTGAATTTTTCCAGTGGCTCATTTCACATGTAATAGGTGTAATGTAACTATGGATCATTGTGACCGTTCAGTAATACTGGATACGAAGTGCATTTGCACCCAGTATTGATAATATGTTGGTTGGTGGACGAGGAATTGCTAATTACTTTTTTGCCTCCCTTTTTTGAAAACAGGTTTGAGCGGGAAATCGGCTCATAAAATTATTTATTTATTTATTTTTGTGTCACGTAGTTTTGTTATTCTGGGTATGTCGGGAATGTACTGGGTATGTTGTTGTTGTTCTTGTAGTTTTGTTATTCTCCGGGATGCTTTTTAATTTGTAAGTCAATATCTCATGCTAATGGTGGAAGATGTTTTGAGTTGATCATAATTCATGAGCATTCGCCCTTTTAGCTAAAAATAGAGTTAAAGTCCTGATGGAAGTACATTCAATCCTGTTGTAGGTCATGGAGGCAGTGATGGTTTGCATGGCTATGTACCCTCTTTGGATCATGTTGTTGCAGATACTGTAAGTCTGTATGATTTATTCCTTTCAGTAGCATTCTTTCATTTGTTTTTCACACTTCTATTGCATGGAAAAAAAGAATCATATTCACAAATATCACGAGCCTATAACTTTGAAACTGAAATTTTTGTTTGATCTTATGTAAGTGTCATATGTTATTTCATCCATTAGTCTTGAACCATTTTGTGTGTTCAGTTTCCATGAGTTAACATTATATGCCAGCGTCTCACGCTTTTCATTGTTATCCATTTTCAATTTTTGATATAACGAATGAGGAAGCTTAAGTACTTTGTTCTGCTGAATAGGGATCTTTCCTGGAAAAGGTCAAGAGAGATAACCCCGGTATCCCGTGCTTCCTGTTTGGCCATTCAACAGGGGGAGCAGTGGTGTTGAAGGTAAGGCTCCCTGATATGTTTTTGGACATTCCACTGCGTTTTAAATTGAATTTTGAATCTGAATATAGAGTGCGAAGTTGCTTGGCTGTTTTGTTAATTTTGTAGAAGAAAACAGTTATCGATGTCGTACACATCCCGAAATGATTGGCTAGGTTATCTAATATTGCGTCGGGTGTGTTATGTAGGCAGCTTCATATCCCCGGATAGAGAAGATGTTGGAGGGCATCATTTTGACTTCACCAGCTCTGCGTGTGAAGCCTGCTCATCCAATTGTCAGTGTAAGTTTTTCCTACCTAGGCATATTGGAAAAGATGAGATAGGACTCATTAGCTGTACTATTCTGTTTTCCAACATAGATTCTATTTTATTGCTCTTTTATATTGCCTGACTAGCAACTGAGAAAAAGAGTTCAGATACTTGGCTACTCTGTGTAGTTACCTACTTGAGAGATGCATTCATTGTATAACTGTGGTGCTAGTGAATGCTTCCTTAAACTCTAGCCAACGAATGAACGTCATATAGATAGCTATGAGAATGCTTCCTTACTCCCAATGAAAATGTTTCCTGCTGTTAATCTAATTTTGAATCTATCTACATTTGTGGACTTCCATGTAGGCTGTGGCCCCGATATTTTCACTTGTTGCTCCAAGGTACCAGTTCAAAGGCTCTCACAAGAGGGGCATTCCAGTTTCAAGAGACCCTGCAGCACTAGTAGCCAAGTATTCAGACCCTTTAGTGTATACAGGCCCGATGAGGGTCCGAACTGGGCATGAGATTCTGCGAATCTCTTCATACTTGATGCGCAACTTCAAGTCGGTTACTGTACCATTTTTTGTCCTTCACGGAACTGCTGACAGAGTGACGGATCCATTAGCTTCACAGGATTTGTACAACGAGGCAGCTTCGGTGTTCAAGGACATCAAACTCTACGAGGGTTATTTGCATGACCTCCTCTTTGAGCCTGAGCGCGAAGACATTGCTCAGGATATCATCAATTGGATGGATAAGAAATTGAACTTTGGGAATTTTAACAATGCAAATAGTTTTTGCTAGAGGAATATCATAGCTCAGTTAGGGTGGGGAGAACTGCCTCAATTCTGCGATCTATTCTGGCTACTGGCTATTAGTGTCGCTTATGAACTCCTGTAGAAGATTTCAGTTTTTCTCTTGCTGCGTGTAAATGTTTCCCAATTATCATATGTATAAATGTTCAAATTCAAAAAGATTTTTGGAAAAGATTACTGGCGTTGTTTCTCTATGGCTGATGATAGTCATCACTACCCATTATACCCTCCCTACAGATTAGCATGGCATTTGTGCCGTAGGTATTTGTTATGTTACAAATGTACTCCCTCTGTTATGAAATTATTATGCAGCTTGGATTTTTATTTTTAGTACAAATTAAATTAAAAATGAAAATCTAAACTAGACAATAATTCTGGGACAAAGAGAGTGTTACAAGATTCTTATTTTTTGGCAATGTGACATTCATTCCTAAAGTCACATGGATTTTAATTTGTTTCTTAGTCAGATATTATATTTTCACGTGTCAAGTCCTCATCATATGCAAAACAATTAAAACTCTTTCAACTTTTACGGATTACCTAAAACTTCCACTTAAACATTGCTAATTATTTGGGAAGACTTACATTTAACGATTACAATTTATACCTAAAAACAACTATCGATTACAGTATATACTAAATAATTTACCAACCTGTACGTCGAGTTTTGAGAATGTGCATACATAGATTTAATTTTCATCTACAAGAATTAGCACTCTATAGACATTGTTTTCCTTCATCCCCGACTAACAACATCGTACATCAACTCTTTCATACATATAACCATTTTAAGTATTGAAACATTGGTAATGTCAAATAATCAGATCAACATTGAGGTTCTTAGGCTATTTGTAAGGCTTTTGAAGAGCAGCACCGTGTTAATTCTAAGCCTATTTGTTATATATCTACTTTTCCAATTCTATCGCAAAGGTTCTATTTTATCCAACTGGAACAACAATGCAGCATCTATTTTCATAGTCATTATGTTATTGGTTAAGCTTGATTCAATATGGAAGATCCTTATGTGTAGATTAGTTTCTATTAGTAAATGTGAGTTTCAACAAAATTATTTTTGTGTGATTTACAATTAACACGTGATTAATAATTCCTTTAAGACCTGCATACCAACAAGTTACTATGAAGGTAAAAAACACGGGTATGAATCTTTCCCCTAATTACCAGTTAGGATATATGCAACCCAAAAACAAAAATTTTAATCCCTGTATCATTCATTATGTTTCAACTACGAATTGTGATGCGGGTATAGATCTAATACTTATATCAACACTTTGTGTCACCTGTGAGTACGTTGTGTGATGTAAGTAAACTCGCGACCATCCAACATACAAATTTTCGGGCAAAGATCAACATCTAGCTAATTCACTATGTGCCCCTTATGAATTAAGATTCTTGCAAAATAATGTGATGAAAGTTATGTTTGTTCCATATTGGTATCGTGAAAGGCTTTGTATCATTATATAAGCTCTATGGGTTACTCCCCTCATTGCCAATTGGTTTTGAAGTGTAATCTCATGAACTTCTATATGGTATCAGAGCGGGTTCGGTCTGTGATAAATTTTAGTCCACGATGCCCGTGATATTATTCTACGGTTATTTTCTTAACCCGGCAGTGTATCCGATGATTTAGTCCAAGTCTGTTGGGCTTGAGTGGGAGTGATGAAAGTTATGTTTGTCCCACATTGGTACCATGAGAGACTTTGTATCAATATGTCACGACCCAGGGGCCTTGGAGTGGTCGGAATTACAGAAAAGGAGAAATAGAAGGTGGCCGGAGGAAAATCTAAGGTCGAATGGGGGAGAATCGGAGAAGAAACAAGAAATTGAAAGAATCCAATTTGACATAATATTTTCGATAATTCAATTGCAACCACTGACAGACTATTTATAGTCCGCAAGTTACAGAAAATACCAATAGGTCCCTAAACTTTCTAATCTTTACAATTTAGTCTTATAATTTAGTCCAGGGCATGACAGACCCTTCTCTTTAAAAACAGTCTTGTCCCAAGACTGTGTTTCGAAAGAAACTAATTACAACTCCAAGCAGCTATCAACAACTGACATTTTAACTGATATCAACTATGAAAGTAATGCAATGACAATAAAGTAAGAAAAATAGTATTATGGATATAGAACAACAGAAGACGGATTTTTGTCTTCAGGGAAATGACTCTAATATGTGCCACGCAATCATCCAAATAAACTCCGCGTCGATGCTTACTACAATGACTGCAATTCTTCTTTCAAAGAGACTGGTACCTCTCCTAAAAGTTGTTACTCTTTCAGTCCTGCCAAGAATCAAGTCTTCATTGTCCCTTGCTTCATTAGAACTCGATCCTGTTTCAGCTTCAAAAAGGATGGTTCGAGCTGCATTTGTCCAGCACTCGCCATTTTTAAGCAAATAAGATCCACCAGGATTTTGGCTGGACACTGGTTCAGCAACATTAGTTTTAATAGTGCAAGGAAAAGAAGTATGAATATGAAGCTGGCTGTTAGTCTGGTTATCAATACTCAGGAAGAAGTAAGGATTATCATTAAAACTAGGGATAGTTCAAAACCAGGACTTGTCTTTCCTATTTGTATATTTAGATAACATCCCAGCACGCTCTCCTTCTACTACATGCATTCCCCGATGCCAAACATAAGAATTCAAGAGAGCATTTTCAGCATCATTTAAACTCTTGAACAGAATAGCATTGCTACCACAATGCACAAATTAAGCAACAAATATACCAAATGGAACTGAATAAGTAATCCTTCCTCCAGGATCATATGGTGAAAATACACAGTAACTCCAAGTGGAATAAATGGCACTAGACATGCAATACATACTCAACAACCTCAATATATCAGAACCCACAAGTGATATACAGAACTTCAGGAAAGTAGTATATTCAGAAATAATAGATCTCTTATCATGATGATTTGATAATAATTGATCAAACCGTGTGCCCACAAGATAGTCCAGCATTAACAACATTTTCGCCCAGGAGGATGTGACTAAGACAGATTTTTGAAGGGCGAATCTGATTTTTATCCCTGCTGCAACAACTGTATCCGTCTGACAGAGTTTCTTCGTTTCACAAACATAATGCTCGGTCAATAATCTCCAATCTAAAAAGAGTCTGCATTTTTCAAATCTAAAAGTATGATTAACAAACATAAATTTCTCAGAAGAATCCAGCACTACGATTTCATCAATGGAATTAACAAGTTCAGACCATGAATTCCTTTGGTTAACCATCTGACCACATTCATTCAAACTCACGTGTGGTACCTCCCTTGAAACTAGAGACGCTTTCAGACCATGGTTTATACCAACTTCTTGTACAACACGATCGAATAGAACCAGGATTTCTAAATGTAGAAGGGTAACTTCTTGACAAAACATTATCATCAGACATAACAGCAATAGACTAAGCAGGCAACAATTTAATGTCAATGGCATTTCCCAATCCACCAGGATCAACATGAATTGCATACACACCCTTATCATCAACAGAATCGTTTAAACTCAAGGAATCACCATTCCCAACACTCGGTTCCAGAGTCACAGTATTCATTCGATCCACAGAACTATCCACACAACTATCAATCAAATGTTTGAATGTACTGGAATCAAAACCTTTACAGACAAAAGATTATTGTCATCACCAAAGGTCTCAACAGGGAAGTCAACTGAACGAAAAGAAAAGTTTGGTGCGATCGAAGAAACGGAATCCGGTCAGCAAAGGACAACTCCGGAATTTGGCCGGATCCGGTCAGCAGGTCGCCAGCCGGCGGCGGTCCGGCGGAAACGGCAGGCAGTCCGGTGGCGGCGGCGGTGGTGGAGGTGGTCCGATGGTGATTTAAAAATATTATTAGTTTATTTAAAATATCACCTAAATAATTTTTTAAATTTTATCTCAAACCAAATTTTAACTCACATCTCAAACCCAAATCAAAAACCAAAACAAAAACTAAAATAAAATATTGGCCAAACAAGCCCTCAACATCCCATCAATTACAAAAATACTGTACTTAATAGTTCACACGCGCCACAATAAAAAATATAAATACCAAAATTTAGGCAGTTTCGCTGCCTTCTTTTGACAATTTCTCCATAATTGCTCTGCAATCTCTATAATTTATGATCATCGCCTGCAAAAGTTGTTGCGGTTATCCACGATTTTCACCTTAAATCTTTTTCTTCCTCCAAATTTGACTATTTCGCCACTCATTAAAGAATATTCAGAGAGAATTCCAGTTGAAGAATCTTCGATCCAAAGAAAATCCAACAAAAACCATATATGCGGTACAAAATACTTTATTATTTACTTCATGTACTTCAATCTTAATTCGTTTATTCATAGTTTATATTCCAAATAGTTGTTTTTTTGAAGTTTATATATGAACAAAAAAATTAGATCTAGAGCAAGGAAGTTGAAAAAAAAATGATTCAACTGACATTGAGCCGCAAAACAGGTATCTGTCCTTTTAAATTCGATAGGCATCATGAGAAATGATGTTATTCAGTACATCGCACGTGCGTCGTAGATATTTACTATCAATTACGGTTTGATGCACATCTCATGATTATTCATCCTGTTATGGTGATTACTCATCCTCCGTGTATATCTGATGGTTATTTATCCATTTAACTATGAATGTCTATCTTTTGAGCAATGATAAAGATAGTGAATAATTATAGTGAAAAAGTATAGTGATTAATGAAAATACAAATACATCATCCTCAGTAAATATGTATATTTATTAATGAAGGGTAAAAATGTAATTTTTAGGGAACGATAAAATTTTAACGGAAAAGTGACAAAAAATTAGAAGCCAAGAATAAGCCATAACTCACTATTTTTTTTCATTAGATATATATTTTCCTTATCTTTTAATGATGTAGTTATTCATCGTATGATTTGTGCTTTGTATGTAACAATCAATAACTTCAAGTCACCATTTAGCCGCAGCTGCAACTATTGCACAAAATGAAGGAACAAATGAAATGAAATAAAAGAAAAAATGCACAAAATCTACAATTATTTCAAACCACAAATCGAAGAAAAATGTCTCCTCAATTAATCAATATATTAGTTAAAATGGGAAATCTCAACTTATTATAATGTTTTGTTTTTTTTTTATCAGAGACAAAAAGATCAACCAGTTGAAAATCAAGAACACAGAGTTGTTTAATTCAAGCATTAACGAAAAAGTATTGAGCATCAATGAAAATCTTAAGAACTTATATGTAGAAAAGAATGTCTATATTTGGTTCAAATTTTGATCTAGTGTAGTATAGAACTCGAAGTTTGGTTGCTGGAACTATTTGGCGGGGT